TTCTGACCGATTGTCCTTTAAATAAACTAGCATCCTAATAATATTAATTGATAGATTTTTGTCATGGAAACTCGAAAATTTGGCTTAGATTTCAGTAGCGGTGCATCAGCTGTTCTGTTTGGAAAGACCGCTGAATCGTAACTTTACATGGTCTCTCATCTTAAAATTCCTTAATACATGTTGTACGACTGATTTTGAAGTCTTACATGTGACGGCAATGTCTTTCACTGTAGTACCGTTTGTTCGCATAGAAATCATATAGCTTTCTTTTCGCGTTCTGTGAAGGTTTTGCTACAAAATTTCAATATAAGAAGTATCTTTAGTACTAGGATATGGCAATAACAGATATCAAAATTAATTTAAAATGTATATTATATACATATATTCAAATAATAGAAAAAATAAGAAAAATTAAAGCAAAAAAGTTAAATTTGTTTTATATCTTTCCGAAACTATTTTCTATTTAATATAATTCCAATCCGGGATGGAGCGAAATATCTCGAAACATGTAAGTTTTATATAAAATAATATTTCAGATAAAAATAAATATAAATTACTAATGTAGTCGTACAGTAGTGTGTGTATATGTATATGTGTGTATATACATATAATACAGTATCGTGCAAAAGTTTGCGTACTTTTGATTTTTTGGACTTAACTCGGTTTTACTAATCTGCCATCTGATTGATATTATTTTTGGATATTTAAAAGAAATACTAAAAGAAATAAAAATAACTAATTTTGAAATAAAAACATTCGTTTTAATTTGAAGCTTACCATTGATTTACTTCTCCATAAAATCTCCAAACAAAAATTGAATCGCATTTATCCTAGCGTAATTTCAAAATATCTCCCAATTCTGTATAGACGTCTAAGTTATTGAATTAATTTTTTATTTGTGACAAAATGTTTTTTCAACAGCTGTTTCTTCGACTTTTCACAAAAGTAGAAATTAAAAAATGCGAAATCAGAAAAATAATGGAAATTATGCTTTCGGACATAAAGAATTAAATTCCTGCTTGTTGATTTTATCCAAAAATAAAACAACACTAACAAATACGTTCTCGACGTCTCTTTCATAATCCTGACCTTAAATCTTTTAATTTTTACTTATTTAGGAAGTCAAAATATTTTTGTCAGGAAAATATTTTATTTCAAATCAAGAAATGATAAATGGAGCACAAAATTGACTCAACAAACTAGACGTTTGTGTATGTAAAACACATTTTAAAATTAATGTCATATCAGAATAAATACTTGAATCTATTAGGAGATTTTTATGGAAAAATAGGTTCATAATAAATTTTACTATATATATATATATATATATATATATATATATATAAATACATACAATACATATGTGTAATTGAAAAATAAAAATAAAATTTTCACTTATTTAATTCAAATGTAAGTATCTTACTTTTTGGAATTGTTCTTGGATTTGAATCATATCAATGTTATTTTTTTGATTATTTATTTTTATTTAAAAAAATAAAGATTAGAGTCTTTGTTCATCTTACTTAATCTATTTTAATTTAATCGTTAATGTTTTGAAGATATTACCTAGGCCTAGAGTGCGCTTTCTGATGATAAGCGAAGTGCGATCGGTAACCGAACCTTTCTTTGCAGATAGAGCATTCATATTTACGGATGCCCTCGTGCTTCAACAGAAGATGCTCATTCAAGTACAGTTTGCTTTTGTACACATTCGGACATTTCGGGCACTTGAATTGGCTCTCTAAGTGACTCTGCAACGTAAACAACAAAACGCTTTAATATAACTTTTAGTTTTTGTTCTGCGTTTGTCAAAACAGTTAAACTTGATGTACTATGTAAAAAAGATTACAGAGTTTTTCGATATTTTAATTAACAAGTTATTTATACAAACTTTGGAAATAAATTCCTAAAAATTCCAGATTTTTATAGGTAATACATACAATTAGTTTTTAAATATATTGAAAATATACAGCAATTTTTCTTACAGTTATATGAGCGCGCAACATCTTTTTACATTTAATTTTCTTGTGACATATATCGCAGACATAATCATGTAAATGCACTGTTTTGTAATGTTTTTCCAAGGCTTCTTTACTCGATAAGCGATATCGGCAAATCTCACATGCCAAACTGTTGCTTCTATGCCTAAGCATGTGTACACGCATCCTCACGGGCGAGTGAAAAATCTTACCGCAAGTGTCGCAAGGAAAGTTCTATAATTGTAAAAGAGAACAACATTCAAGAAAAGCAAGAAATATTAAGAGATTTGTTAATTGTAATAGAGATCATACACGATCATGCAGCAAAACATATAATAAAATAACAGAGTTAAGCTTATAATAAGAACATATCTACATGTACCTTATTCATTATAATAATACTTTTTATATAAATTGGAATGTAATGTTAATATTAAAACTGAATACTTATATTTATGTGTTAATTAAATAAAATTACGATATGAAGAAATCCTGGAAATGTGCAACAAAACTTATTATAACTATTAAATATATTTTTGGTTACATATATAATTATACCTTTTTTATGCTCTCGTGCTTCAACAGATGCTCATTCAGATTCCGTTTACTTTTGTACACATTCGGACATTTCGAACACTTGAATTTGCTCTTTAAGTGACTCTGCACATAAGCAACAAAACGCTTTAATATAACTTTTTGTTTTTATTCTGCGTTTGTCTAAACTTAATGTACCTTATTCATTATAATAATACTTATTATATAAATTAGAATGTAATATTAATATTAAAACTCAATACTGGTTTATGTGTTAATTAAATAAATTACGATATGAAGAAATCCTGGAAACGTGTAACCAAATTTGCTTTATTAACTATTAAATATATTTTGGTTACATATACATATAATTATACCTTTATGCCCTCGTGCTTCAACAGATGCCCATTCAAGGACTGTTTACTTTTGTATACATTCGGACATTTCGGGCACTTGAATTTGCTCTCTAAGTGACTCTGCAACATAAGCAACAAAACGCTTTAATATAACTTTTAGTTTTTGTTCTGCCTTTGACACAACACTTAAACTTAATGTACTATGTAAAAAAGATCACATAAAGTTTTTCGATATTTTAATTCAAGTTATTTGTACAAACTTTGGAAATAAATTCCTAAATATTCCAGATCTTTATAGGTAATACAATTTATTTTTTAAATATAAATTGGAATATATAATGTAAATTGGAATGTAATGTTAATATTAAAATTCAATACTAGTTTATGTGTTAATTAAAATTACGATATGAAGAAATCCTGAAAATGTGTAACCAAACTTATTTTATTAAATATTATATATATTTTGGTTACAATAATTATATATTTTTTATGTATCAATTTATTATCAGATTACAATCTCACGTAATTATAATCTCGTATTCTTTTACTCAAAGCTCTTAACTCTTTAATCAATTTCTTATAAAGGCTTTAGATGGGATGAAGATTGGTCCATCTCGAGAGATGATAACTAAAGTCGACCGCCACATGTCACCCCTATGTATAATTATTAGACATCGAATTTTTTTAATGCAGATTGGTGGAAAAGAGAGCAATTAATAACTAACAAGGAAACCCACGGAAGTGTCCCCCTCCGATTTTGATGAGCTTTTAGTATGTTCTCTAGATGAAAATAAGGGACACGTATTTTTCTATACGTGCCCATACGCGTATTTAGGGGGTGAATACCCCTTTGAAAAAAATCAGCTTTCCTCTTTTGAGCCGAATATCTCCGAAATTATAAAAGATAATAAAAAAACACACCACTGAATTGTTCGAAGAATACAATTCCAATGTTAAATCTGGCAGGCATTCCTCTTTAATCATAATGGTCGAATATTCTGTCGAATATTCCGTGCCCAAAGTTACTCC